AAAATTGTCTAACCTTGTTTCAGCATACTCATTAAAGGAGTCTAATATTTCATCATACGAGGCTCCACCATAAGGGAATAAAGAATCTAATTTTTTAAAGATTATTTCGTTTACCGACTTTTCATTAATTTTAGATACTGTTTTAGTGAAATTAAGACCATCAAATAAATTGACAACACCTCTTTGCTTCCCATATTTAGCCAAAGCAATTGAGAGTAAAGTGACATGCTGCACTTCATCAGCCGAAATTGGTGTTACCACTGGGAAACCCAATCTAGTGGCAACTTTCAAAGGAGTGATATAATCATTGGTAATAGCACCTGTTTCTGAGTCATAATTCAAAGCTCCTAGGGTAAATAGAAATTTAGCTGAGTCCTTGGAACGAATGAAAGATTCAATAAAATTTGGGAATGAATAACCAGGAGCAATAATACCTGTCAAAGAATTTGAATTCAAGGCAAACCCCAATGGAGTTAAACCTGCACCAGATCTTGGTTCAATCTCACTGAAGAAAACATTATTGGTATCTTTTTTAACCCATTTTTTCAAAGCAGAGTCTAATAAGTCTGGTTCGAGAAATGTTTTATAACTGAATATTACCTTTAAATTGTTATACAATACTGATAATATTGCAGAAGCCGGAGTACCATAAGTAGGCAATGCCCTTGGGTTATTTGGCAAATAAAAGGGATTGTTAATAAACTCTAGATCCATTATTCTTATCCTGAATATTGATTCAACCTATTAAAAAAACCCTTTAATTCAAGTAAATTTAATTTGCTCTTCCTATAAAAATAAAACAACCTTAATCTTCACAAAAGAAGAACATCAATTGAATAAGGATACCAATTATCACAGGACTTATATACCTTTACCAATAAAATTTAATCTGATACATCTTAAAGTAACCATTAAGAACCTTAAACTTCATTTTATCTCTCATACAGACAATTACTCGTAGCCACAGATGTGTTCTACTCAATATCCTCGATTGTTAGTTCGTTTGGGATGGTTAACTTAGGATGATTCGAGAAATTTGATATTTGATGAAAAAATATGTAACAACACGTGACATTCCTTTATTTTTGTTTTCCATTGTTACAAACCAACCAAACCTCATGACATTTTGCAGCTTTATTAATACAATACTAGTAGATTCGTATAGTTTTGAAGTTCATTACATTAATTCATGAAAATAGAAAATTCATTTGACATCCTATTCAAGTCGAGTGGTCAAAAGTCTACTTTTTGAGGATTCTCTTATATAAATATTGATTTGTTTGATATTTGTATATACAAGGTCAATTGATTAATTGATTGGTTGAAAAAATTGAAAACTTATACAGAACCCTTTAACAATAAGTCCATGTGATATAGTAAAGTTTTAGCCTTTTCCTTGATTGATACTGATTCATCGAATACGTTTTGTTTTACCAGATCGTAAATTCCTAGATCAACTAGTTTTTTACATCTTTCGACTACTGCCCTATCATCAATATTCGCTTTTGATCTTTCTGTCGTTCCACCAGAATGTACGAATTCTTCATTTTCTCCTTCTCTTTCATCATGATTATTGGTATTGTTGACCACTTCAGTGGCCATTGGTACTCCTCCTTGCAATGTCTCTTCATTTCTGCCTTCATCTCCTTCTCTTTCATCATCATCGTCTTCCGCCATTGATGGGATATATCCTTCTAACGCATAATATGTGTAACGCGAGATCGATGAATTCCATAACAAATTATTTAACACCCATAGACTTGCTAACTTTAATGGCGTATCATTACCATACTTACCTCTGTTTTCAGATGATTCTGCTAATATCTCACAAATAAATTTTAATATTTCATCTTGATCGATAACCAACTGTTTCTTATTTTCATTAACAGCAGCAATATTAACAATAATGTAAAGGATGGATTCTAATATTTTCTTTTGTAATGTATCTTTTACGTTTAGCATTTGCATTTTATGAGCAAGGTATTCAAATAGATAGATCGAACCTGTCGAGATTGTAGTCGGCTCAAACTCATTATTATTTTCAGCAGCTTCACTTCTGAAATTTTCTAGTAGAATATTAACAACCTTTCTGGAATTGCATGTCAAATTTTTAATAAGTTGGAAACATTGAGCTTGAACAGGCCAGCTAGGATCATTAATAAATTCTATGATAGTTTCCATTGGTATCTTGGCTAATAAATTGAGTTTCTCTATATTCTTGGAATTGTACATTAAATGTCTTAGGACCCATAATGAGTATGTTTTAATGTCGTCAGTTGGAGTATCAACGAACATTTCACACCTCTGTGGATTTATCCAATGACGGTTACTGTTAAATACTGGATCTACAAGAATTTCACCAATCATATCAATTATACCATTTTCAATCATAAATGACTGTAAACTTGAAAATTCAACAACAAAATTTGAAATAGTACCTAAGGTCAAACTCATAATTGTTAATTCGGCTTTTAAAAATTCTTTGCCAGAAAAGTAACAGTCCTTCATTATTTGATAAGTATTCTTCAGTAATCTTAGTAAGAGCTCTGCCAACTCATTTCTGCGTAATGAGGTCCTTACTGTCGTTACACTTCTTGAAAAAGACTTTAATAGGACTAGCCAGGAAATTGTGATCTCTGTATCGTACAATGGAGGTAAACTCATAATTTCATCATCATGATTATCTTTCATATCCCTAATCAATTTTTTATGACTTATAAACTGCTCTAACAGCTGCATATGCGAATTCAGACCATGCTCTAAATGACTTAGTATAGACTTGTCTTCTAATAGCAGTAATCTATAAGAATCATCAAAAGCCGAGAATGCTGCACATAGTCTAATTAATTTTGTTGTGGTTTTCACAGATGCAGTGCATTGTGTATCTAAGGAAAGGCACCTTGAAAAAATCTTTAACAGGCCTTTAATGGCAGCCGTGTCCGCTAAAAATGAAGTAATTGGATTATTCCAAGGTTCGAATCTATTGTACAGCTCTATCAATGCATTTAACATATCAAAAGGATCAAACCAGGAAGGCAATAAAGAATAATTAAATGACTCCATTAAATATGGCAACAATTGAAATAGTAGACCTTTATCCATTTTTAAATCTTCAATTAGAAAATAACGACGCAAAAGAAGTTGTAAAGAAGCACACTTTAAATTAATATTCGAAGACTTTAATAATCCAGATACAAACATTATGAAATGATGGTTTTGTAACAGCATATTATTGTCTGGAGTAATAAAGCTGGGAAATTGTTGAACTGTTTTCTGGTATACTACTAAGCATAATGATATTAATTCTGAATCTATAGGATCATTGATATTTATCGCATCTGCAATATTTGGAGTGCTTTTAATTTTCTGGTTTTTAAGTAGATTATAAGAATCCTTAACCGTTTGAAATTCCAATTCTTTTCCTTTACAAACCTTTCACGTATTATATACTTGAAATTGATTTTATCACTGTACTTATCAAAAAAGTAGCTAAAAGCAATTTTAGGGGAGCTCTCATTGCTAAATTTTATCGGAAAATTTGATCATCTATAATAAAATATTTCAAAGTTACGATTAATAGTTTATTCAGCGGTTTCTGTAATATTCAAATCCTCTAAGAAATGTTTTGTCAAATATGCTGAAATTAGTTGCTATCTTTTCAGGGAATGGATATTTTTCTATCGAGCAATTTCCAACGCATAGGTTTATAAGTCTAATATATTTATAACTGGTTTCTAAATCAATGGTATTTAAGTTAGAGGCAATCTCATACGAGTTATAAACCAATTTCACCACCCTTAAATAATGTAAACTTAATTTTTCTCTGATATGTTCTTTTAAAAGTAAAGTAATATAAAGGATGTCTAATTTAATATTCAACAGTTCATATCCTTGATCCAACGACAAATTGCCCAATTCTGAAATTAAATTATCTTCAGTTGACATGAACACTTCAACTTTGTTTAATTCATCCCCAGTTAGAGAATCTCTCAATTGTAACAACTCACTGTAAGTTGTAGCCATCATATATATATATATGTATGGAGGAGTGTTAGACGGAATATGGGGTAGGAGTGAGAAGTGGCTATATTGCAATTTTACCAAACTTTCCTTTAATATCGAGTTCTACTCTAAAGATGAGGCCAAAAGATTATTAAGATATTTTAAATAGGATAGGTATGTTTAACCGGTTAATGATCCTAATATAAATCATATAGATAGATAATTTATCAATTAGTCGTTTCCCTAATATAGGAATTTCACTAACAGTCAGGTGATCAAGAAGTTGATTTTTAGAAAAAGGAATCGAATAAATATCACATCTGACGATTCATTTACCATTTCATCACAATGGCAGCAACTCCCAGTTTTAGTATTTCCACAGTATCTATCTATATTTAATCTAATAACATCGAATTATCTAAATAATTGAAACTATTTCAATTAAACAATAAAAACAGCATACTGATTACACAATCATATAAAAGCCAATTCCAAGAATAAATCCTGGCTTTTACAAGGGCATCCTTAAGAAAAATATATGCCAATGCTACCTGAATGGATACTAGATCATACCAACATAAGCCAGCACTAGTATTTAAAATCATACTTTCTTTGACACTTCTATACAGATGAAGAATATATCTTAGTAATGGTTAATTTATTCACCTTTTTTATATTATTAATAACTGAATCAATGCGTCGCAGCTTTTTACTATGTATCACATGATCAAAATGTAATTACTAATATCATGTAAATAATTACATCATCTCAAATTAAAGGGCTTCATTTCGAAACTGCCTAGATGACAAATCGGGAAAAAGCTTTCGAAACAAGTTAAACTAGAATGACAATCGATTGATTTGATTTGAATTTAATATAAAAATTAGGTTATATTCTAGTTTCTAATCCTCCTAATTACAATCTATTTTGGTTCAATTAAGATATCCAACTCAAGGATCCAAATATCCAAAGATAAATTATAAATAAGAAGTTAAATATGTTTACAGGTATTGTTGAATTAATGGGAACTGTAATTGAATACAAACCATATGATGATACAGAAAGTGGTGGTCAAGGTGTTTCTGTAACAATTGGCAATTCTGAGAATATATTAGGTGATTGTCATATTGGTGATTCAATTGCAATTAATGGTATTTGTTTAACTGTTACTGAATTTAATAAAGATTCTTTTAAGGTTGGTATTTCTCCAGAGACTATAAAAAGAACAAATGTTTCCTCTTGGAAAAGTGGTGAATTGGTTAATTTAGAAAGAGCTGTTTCACAAGAGGTACGATTTGGTGGCCATTACGTCCAAGGCCATGTTGACACAGTTGCAAATATGGTTTCATTCATCCCAGAGGGAAATTCTTTGATTTTTGGATTTAAATTAAGGGATTCACAATATAATAAATATATCGTAGAAAAAGGTTTTATTTGTATTGACGGTACCTCTTTAACTATAACTAATGTTGATGACGATGGTACTTTTTATATTAGCATGATTAAACATACTCAAGAAAATGTCATTATGCCATTGAAGAAAATTGGCAGTGAAGTTAATATTGAAGTTGATTTAACTGGTAAAATTATTGAAAAGCAAATTACATTATTACTAAATTCACAGTTTGAAAATAAAGATAGTACTTTGAATAATTATATTGAAAAAATTATTGATGAAAAGGTTAAAAAATATTTAGGTAAATAATAATGACTCTAGTTAATACCAATATTTTATAAGATTATATTATACAGAGAATAAAAGAAACATCCAAATATAGTAATATAGACTTTTTATAAATATTTGAAATTGATGATTTATTAAATGAATGAGAACTATGCTTAATTTGGTACTTCGAAAACTAAGGAAACACCTTCATCACCAGCAGTTATTACTCTTCTTAGGCCATTGTTATCCTTTGGTTGAGCTAAAACGAAATCTAAGACACCCATGTTGTGACCTGTACAAACGAATTTTTCTTGACCTGTTCTAGCATCAAATTGATAAACCTTACCATCCATACAGGAAATAAATAGATCATCATTATCAAATTGTAATCTAGTGACCGATTCAGTGAGCACGAACCTACGTCTAACTCTCCAAGAATTAATATCGTATAGTAAGATTTCACCACATACTAAGCCCACTGCCATCAATGGGAATTTAGTAGACCAACTGATAGATTCTACTGAAGCATCTAATTCATCTTGTTCTGGCTTCAATTCAACTACCTGTGATAAATTCAAAACCGAACCGTTAGTACAGTTGATAATTGCTAAAATACCATTGTTAGAACCACAGGCTACAATGGCAGCATTACCTGATGGAGGAGCGGCTGCCACAGAAACCCAAGGGGCTTCTTGACCTTTTATTTCATCCTTAGTTATCTTATGTAAAGCTTGAGCAGTGTAACAGTTCCAGACAATGATTGTGCTATCTAGAGAACAGGTTACCAATTCAACAGTATTTTCACCTTTATCAGTGTTAATAAATTCACCCATAGTACAATCTTCTTGGTGAGCAAAACTACTCATTAATAGATCTAAAGATCCAGAAGATTCATTTATTTGGTAACACCATACAGAACCATCAGTGGCACCGAATGCAAACACCCCAGCGACAGTTGGATGGCATTTCAACCAAACTACTTCTTCAACTTCAGACAATTGAGAAAATACTTTCCATTGAGCACCACCATTTGAAGATTTGCTAACTAGCACTTTACCTGTCATGTCAGCGGTTACCAAGAATTTTCCTTCACTGGTGAACCCACCGGTGATTACAGATTCAGTGTGGTCTGAGATAGTACCAGCAAATTTTGGTGGTGAAGAATGAGAGGTCCACAAATGAGCGACGTTGTCACCACCACCACTACAAATTAATGGCACACTTGGATGTTGGAAAACAGAAAATACAGAATCGGTATGCTTGTCGAAATAAGCTACAGAGTTGTTGGACATATCAATTTCAATCTTTTCTGTGTCACTGTCCTCATTCTCATCGTTTTCCAGATCTTCATCCATCTCATCTTCTTCGACAGGAGCATTATCATCGGCGATAACTTCTTGATCTACTTCGTTGACAGCAATGAATTCCTCTTGAGGAGCATTATCATCAACTTGTTGTTGTTCTTGTAATTCGGAAGACATGTCTATTGTAAATATATATATATATATATATTGTGGTTCTAGATCTTTCAGAATATAATATGCTTCCCTTTAAATCTATCCAGTATTGACCAGTTCAGTTTACTGATAAATCTGCCTAATATCCTTATTCCTCAAGGAAACTAAACGTTTTCAAACTAGCGAAGGTAAACCTACCAAAGGATATCTTTTATATATATGTAAAGAAGGTAAAATTTACCAGAGAGAATAAGATAAACTAGATGTTGATCAAATTTAATTAATAATTAATAATTATAAGTAGAAGAATACTGAACTATTCAATAAGATGGTTCTCTTACTAAGTTCATCTCTCATTACTAATTTCGAAGGCTGTTTCCTCATCGCATTGATTTTGAAATTTTTCAGAAAAAGAAATTAAAAAGAAATTCTATGGAAAACCTAACATGTCGTTGTCAGTGATAGAAATCCACACATAGTCACATGACCTACAATCAGATGCAAATACAAATATTCCAAAACGTACACGTGACTATATTTCCTCTTTCTCTCTCTCTCCCCCCCAAAAAAAAATAAGGGAAGTCAGCACTGAACGTACATAATTTCTTTGTTCACTGAAGTTACACTGTAGTGCAGTTAAAGCTTTATCTATATATATATATGTATATGAACCCGAGATATACTTTATTATGAAACAACTAGAGATGGACAGCTTTTATTTGAAGAATTGCTATCTATTGAGAGTGGTTTAAGACTATTAAGACTTAATTTCCACCCTAGTTTTACAACCAACAAAGGCCATCAAGACGTTGAATTTCCCCATCTTGTAAATTCCAAGAATGTATTAGAACGATCTGGTTTGGAGGAAGGAGGGGGAATGGAATGAGAAGTTTTTTGAAACAACACAACATGGATCCACAGGGTTCTGAAATGCTATATAAAAAGTTAGTGTATTTGACATGTTTTTTTTAAGTAAACCTTGATTGTCAGATTTATTGTATTGTAAGATACTGTATCAACCAAACAGATTACTCAGCCCATCCATCCTATTGAAGAAGTTTATCTTAACGCATGTGTCGGTTGCTATCGACGGATATTTTATATCTTTATTAAGTAATCTTACCAAATTTTTACGCATCATCATCAACGTTAATTATGCTCAACTGTTTAAATTTGAATAGAATGTTAAGGTACTTCTAATCTTATATATTTCATATATATTCATTACAGTATTTAAATCAAAATGTGGAGTTGACTTCAACGTAATTCTTCCATATAATATGGATGGATGACTGTATGAATACCTCCCTTGTAGATCATATTTGAACTTCAACATTTTTTTTATAATAAAATAATTCAGATATCTTTGTAATACGACTGTATAGTTTCTATTCTCAATCGACTAGTCTACAGATGAGAGGGAAGATCGAGAAACCAAATTTTGACGCTGCCACTAGATGGCAGTTTAATAAAGAAGTATGTTGTTAATTGTATTTGCTTTGAATAATAATAATAATAAAAAAATACTGGATACTTTTTTGCCGTTTGCATTTTTTTATATGAATTTAAGTTTCTTCTGCTAACCTTTATAATCAACTATTTTGTTAAAGCTATTCATTGCTTCATGTGTCGGTGCTGTACAAGGTGCCTTGGTGGGTATAGTGTCAGGGTATTTCTTAAAGAAACATAGTGTTATGTACAGGAACGTAAGAATGCCTGTCAGAGTATTATATCAGAGTTCATGTATCTGTATAGGATTGTTTTATGAAGCCGAAAGACAAGTTTATAAATTCAGAGACAGGATGTTTAGATTGGAAATTTCCAGAAGGGAAAGAATACTAGATGAGGCTGCTGAAAGAGGCATCTTTTTAGAAGAAAGTATTTCTTCTGGGTCCTCAGCACCTTCTGACACTGGGAAGTAAAATTGCAGTTGATGCAATTGTTTTCCACGGCGAATGTTTTTTTTTATGATTGATGAACAAATCTGAGAATTATCAATTTAATTTTCAGTTACCCAAACTTTTATCTATATTCTAATTAGCGCTTTCTAGCACAAATTAATATATCTTCACGTGATAATATTATTACAACAATTTTATTAATGTATATATCTGTGTACGTATTTGTGTGAACTTACCTATAAATATTAATCAATAAAATTATAATGAATGCATGTTAAAATAATTATTCCTTGCTCAATAGTGATTTGCTCAATTCGTTTAATAATAGTTTTGAGTTGACTTGTTGTTTGCTTGTCTTGACCTTGGAACTCAAAACCTGTGCTAGCATATTACGCTTCTTATTATTCAATTTTGATAATGCAGTGGAAGTTGAACCTAATAGATGCGAATGTAGGTTCAATTTATCCATTTGTATATTTAGCTCGTTTTCTAAATTGTCAGTGGTAGCCTCCGTATCTTGGAATTCAACTTCCGGTTCAAATGTGTACTCTTTACATAAATCCTCCCATTCGGAATGTGGGCTTTGGTTGTTCAATACTATCGCCCAGTCTGATATCTCTGATTTTAGTTTCTTAATATTCTCCTCTAGTAACTTCAAATTGGTTTCATTTTCAAGATTTTTAATATTTGGAATCTTCATCTTTGGTAATTGGGACTTAGTTTTCCGTTTTGGCTTATTCTTTTTAGGTTTGGCAATATAATCCGTATCGTCTTCATCTTCTTCAAACAATTGTCGAAGCTCAGTATCATCTGCATTCGCATTACCTGTATCATCATCATCATCATCATCTAATGAAATTTCAGCCTCCCAATCTATATCAATTTTATCCTTTCTTAAATCATTAACAAATTCACTTATTATCTTCAAGGCAATTTTCTTTGGATTTAAATAGCTATCCTCATCTCTGCTATCAGATGGGACCGAAAGGGACTCTTGCCTGAAGTTTGGCTCAGTTTCCATTTTTCTAAGACTTCTAATTGCACACCAACTAAACAGTTGTCGTATCTGTAAACCTTTCCCAAACGATCCATCACCAATATGTCTAAAAAAATCTTCTTCTGGAACGTCTTTATGTGGAGATATAATACCAATATTCTCATCATACATAGATAGCATCGAAACTCTACGGCCTCTCTGGGCCGCCATCGATTTCCTCCTGTCTTTTATTTTTTGCATATATGGATTTTGACTTGGTTGCATAAAATTGTAAGGATACACCAATGGAGGTGGTAATAATTGTGGAATTTCACCTTGTCCTGGAACACCAGTATGGTTCTGAGGTTGCTGTGATGCGTAGAAAGGTTGCATTGAAGAATTTGGCATCATAGATATTGAGTTATTCCCGTACTGTGATGGATCCATCTGTGATTGTACAATTGGAGAATTTGGAAATTGCATCATTGGATGACCTGGTGTCGGCACAGGATAATAATACATGTATGGAATATAAGAAGGGTGTTGTGGTTGTGAGTGTAACTGACTTTGTTGTAAATGAGGTGGAGGTGAAGTCTTCATCTGTATATCATTTCTATTATCATATCCAACTTCTTCAGTATCGTTCGATTTCACCTGTTCAGGTAAATTAACAGCAGAAGAATTGAAATTTTCTACCCATTTAGCCTTTTTGATATCTTGAAAATTGTCTAATCTTTCACCCAAAGACGGCACACCGTTGATATGTTTATTTTTATGTCTCTTAAATTGGAAGTCTTCATCACTTTCATAACTTGACATTCTATGTTTAACGCTTTCGTTAATGTCACCTTCTTTATTAATCTCTGTATCCTGAGTGGAAATCTGACTAGCCTTATAATCAGAACCCAGAGGTATCCTTTCCATTCGTAATGGATAAACTGATTTCCTTAAAGGTGTTCTCGATGTCGATCGGTCAATGCTCATTGTTTAGACCTCCTGACTTAAAAACGATTAATCCCAAAACCAGCTGCTACAACAACACTTGAAAAAAATATTTCCTTATACTCCCTCTAATCAGCTAGCAAATGAACCCACTAATATCTTGATTCAACCGTTGTAACAACTCTTCTATTGCTTAATCCTCTTTTGTTTACATTTTATGTAGATACTTAAATTCAAGTTTTGATTCAATTCCTAACGGGTTCAAATTTAAAGCCAAAAAAAAAAATCATCGAAATTGAAATTAGTTGGAACTTCTAACAGTTTACCCTACCTCGAACCACGTGAGCTATCTCGCTACCAAAAGCTTAATACGCGCAGACATAAATAAAAAATATGAACGCAAGTATGCAGGTAATAGCCTCATGCATGACAATGGTCATACTTATCCAATCACTATTGAATATGAAAAGAATGACACCATTAATAATCACTCACTTACACATTCTGAAATACATATAAAAGGAACATGAAATCTCCATTCTTCAATCCTGACTCTTATGACAAAACACCTATGATTTATACTTTTAACTATATATTAGGATATGAATTATTAGATGGTTTCTAGCTTTAAGCCACCAGTTCGAATAACTCATACATATTTTTAAATATATTTTCCTATTACAAGACTAACACGTCTATTACAGATACTTATTAAAACCTTTAATTTATACTATTATACAAGTCTACCAGGCTTATCAATCCATACGTTTAAGGTCCAATAAGTGACATTGAAGATATATTAACATCATTTTTAATTGATAGTGACATTTCAAAACTAACTGCGAGACAATCTATAAATCTAATGGAAAAGCTTCTTTCAACTGAAACAACAGATAAGGGTGACTTTTATTTGCAACTCTACTTCAGAGTGGAAGAGGATGAGAAAATAAAAATGTAGCTAATTAGTGTCATAACTGAAATGTTTCATATGATTGAGCATTCTGAGGAGGTTAATTATTTGCATGAGAAATTATTAACCAAGTTTGGTCCAAAGTATCTATTGGTACTCGACTATACCATCATGCTACTGAAAATTGTTGAATATATATATGTAACATATACGGACATACGACACAGCTACATACCGAACGAACTACAGTATCCGATATTGATGGCGCCATACAAAGGTAATAATACTTGTGAAAGCAAAGTATCCTTTTATCGAATTTATGTTTAAACTTGGAAGAGGAACAGGCAGTGTAGCATTTCCAACTCATCTGATATAAATCAATGAGCATTATCATAGTGCTAAAGAGGCAAAATAGTCACATAAAATGTTTAAATTGTGAATATGTAAAGTTAAAAATATGTCATCAAATATATCATAAATTCGTGGAATATACATACTATCAATTGCATATTCATATATAATGCTCTTCTGCCAAATTTAGAAAGAAATTCGATAAAAATGGCACTCTATGTTCACTTTCCCTTGTATTATCACCATTGTATGGTGCCATTAATACCGGGAATTGCATTTCATTGGGTATATAAGTATTTAATATACCCTTATATGTTTCGTAAATATATTCTACGATTTTTAACAGTAGGATGGTATTGTCCAGTGCCAAAAAGTAATTTGGACCAAACTTTGTTAAAAGATTTGCAGCCAACACATTAGAATTTTCAGAGGCTTCAACTAATTCTATCATATCAGCTATAACTCCTCTTAACTCCATTTGTACACTCTGGTCTTTATCATATGCATCTGTTTTTATTATTGAATATATTAGCATATAATATGAATCTTGATCGACTTCTTGAATTGAAAGAAGTCTTTCAATTATATTGATAGATTCTGTAGTATTTAGGTTCGAAACATTGCCATCTATTAAAAAGGACGTTAATATGTCTTCAGTATTATTTATTTCACGAAGCTGCTCTGTTTCCTTAGTAGTGCTGTCAACTAATTCTGACAAACAGAGCAGAACAGAATTATTCATTTAAATCATATATTTCATAATATATACTATTATAATTACAATTATTATATATCTACATCACCTATGATATCTTTCATGCAAGTGTTTAGTAAACTTTTCAATTCTTCATTGTCAATTTGTGGACCAGAATGAGTTTGTTCTGGTATATGGTTTAGTAGCCATTTTTCTCTTATATGCCTTGTCAGTATTAATAAATCCTGTACACCTTTTATTAATTGAGCTGTTTGGTTATTTACCATGAGTACGCTAGATGTAGCCACAGAGAGTTCAGATTCATCTAGAATATTATCGTTATAACCGGAGTCGTTTTCTTCATTATGATCACTTGAACTTTCAATTGAAGCAAGTTTTATTAATTCTGTTAATTTTGATGATATTAATTCTGTTGTCTGTCCAAGTTTCTCATATAGTGCTTGATTACTCATTTTGATAATATTAACAATACAGAACAGTTAGGTTTAACCAAATCCACTATCATTGATCTGCCATCAAACATATCTTTTATTAACAGTATGATTAAACCTTTATACATGATAAGGAAGTTGAACTTTAAATATTGAAAGTATTCAAATTTGAAAACCGTGATTAATATTTAAATATCACATCACATGGATGAAACCAATTAGTATGGTTGACTTATATTTCAACAACAAACAAATAATTAAAAAGCGCAAGTGGTTTAGTGGTAAAATCCAACGTTGCCATCGTTGGGCCCCCGGTTCGATTCCGGGCTTGCGCAATTTTTCTTTTTTGTAAACAAAATTTGATAATAGTAACTGTCCTTATATGGATCTCTATGGATCTCTATCAGAGTAGAGTTATGATAAAATTCTACAGAATGGTTTTTGTTTTTATTTATTACTACATCATTATGAATAATATTTAAATATACTGACAAAACTGTCTAAATAAGAAAAGTATAAGAAATATATTTATTTGATATATTTTTTTTAAAGTCCTTTAGTTTCAATGAGAATATAAATTCATAGACCAGCTACTTTCAAATTCTGTCATTACTTCTCGATTGAATTTCTGTTTCTTAAAGGTATTGGTTGAATATAGAATGGGGAATATAAATAAAATAGAGATACAAGGTAAAATTAATAAACGTAGTGGGTGGGATTGATCTTGCTTGGTTACAAGACCAAGTTCATTCATTTTCTCTTTTATCTCATTTCATTTTTTTACTCGTAGGATTTTTCATTTTATTTCTACAATACTCACACAACCTTTTCTTGTTTGATCTTGATTTAGAGGTATCATTAATTGATGAAGACTGCAATAAGTCTGAGCCTTCAATTTTTACACCAGCTGTCGTACTTCCACTGTTTGTAGCATCTAATTTTCTAGGAATATATTTGTAATTTGGATATTTCAATTTATGTAATTCTTTTTCTTTTTTTGCTAGACCATGCCAGTAATTCTTTTCATCTTCTGATAGTGACCTCCAACGTTGTCCAATTTCCCTAGATACTAGTGAATTTGTTTTAAAGGACCCATGTGAGATCAGCAAACCTTTATCCTTACTGAATAAATGATTGTGCATATATTGTCTGAAAAGAATAAAGGCATTTCTTGGCCTTGGAATGTGTCTACCATCCTCGGTATAGTTTCTACATCTACATTTGGTTGAATGGGAAGTCTGTTTCACCTCCTCAGCTAAATTACTTTCACTTCCACTAGATTCTAAACTGATTCCCAGGTTTGGTGAAGATTGTGAATTTGAATTTAGTGACGCTGGTGACATAGCAAGAGCAGTTGAAGACGATGATTCATTAATAGTTGGACTATGTGGAATATTTTGTGCATTAAAACCGACTGTTGTATATGAAGAATTAATTTCATCTCTGGGTGGGAAGTTATTATACGAAGATTGGTTAGGTGATTGAAATATTTGATTCGGATTTGTTTTAGAACTGCTATTATTATGAATATGCTGTAAAACAGAAGCTGCATATAACTGATTATTCTGGCTGTGTTGCAATGCACCTACACTGGTTGTCGATGACGATGGACTATTGATGTTTTGATTAAAAATTTGACTATTAATATTTGGAGTTGAGTCCGCGGAAGTTGAGTCGTGTGTTGTTATAGAGGGAGCATTGTCGTTATCAATAGCCGATAATAGTGTCTTGATGGACGGTAGACTAACCCTTCTTTCCTGTAGAACATTCATTATTAAATATTTTCAATTAGCTAAAATAAAATTTAAAAAAAATACTACTTCGAGTATCTAATTATTTATTACCTTATATTTTACTTAATCTGATTATAGTACACAATAAATTAAAACCTTGACATACGAAAAGGCTCTAAATGTAAATTGATAAAAATAATTATTTTAATTATTCAGGTAGTAAATGGTTGGATCATTGCGACATTCAGAGGAAAACGTTAAAATTCCAAATGACAGGCGGTGAAATAAAACATACACACACAAACATATATATATATATATATATATCTTTATTTGACTATTGGAATTTCATTATAATGGAATAAGAAATCTGTTGCTTAGATGTTACAAGGAAATAGAAGGAAATAAAAAATAAAATGGTTAGATTCTAAACAAGGGACCATACTATTACGGTTAAATCGAAAACTACAAATATGTGCCTTTGAAGCAATGCAGAAAGAATAATCACTCTAATGGATAACATAAAATGTCTCCTTTTCTCCCTATAATATTTTAATTAAAAAAAAAAACTAAACAGAATATATTAAAATTTTCTTAATTACATTACAATTACAACTGCAATTATCCCAAACAAGGATAGAAAGCTAAGATTATTAAGTTAGGTTTCAACAAATTTTTTTAATAATATAGAGAGAAAGACACTGTAACAATAAGCTATTTGCAACATACACTAATAATCAAGAAAAGTAACGAAACAAAATAAGAAAAAACATAACCATAATACAAATAATGATAATAATAGTGAGTTTATCATTAGCATATGGAATTAACATAATATAAAATGAAAACAACAACTACTACTACAACAACAAAAAGCAAATAATCGAATTTGATTTCAATATACATATTGACATATTGCTGTAGAAGTATATCGTTTGTTAGAAGCTGCACTTCTAAAATAATGGTAAAAACTATAAGAAAAATACCAAGATTAATTACAATACAGTATTGATGCCTTTCACAAATTGCATAATTAAAACAAAATGAGTACAACGCAATAGAATTCGTTTGTTTAATAAAACAGCAAAAGTAAATTACAAATGATGTATATCCCAAATTTTAATTTTCAAATTGACTATCAAGAGATTTCAAGTGCGAATAAAATAAAGAATAAAGCTTTAGATATTTTTACTAATGTGTCTCACCTGTTAAAGAGACGTTCTGATATGTTATACAATGTTTTATATTGTAGTTTCCATTTTCCAGCTGTAGAACCGAAATAAGATAGTGGGAGTGAAAGGAATCAAACTTGAACCATTTCGAAAAACCACTTGAGTACGATAGGTTATAAGAAATCTCCTACCATAAACATAAATAATATAGTAAATAAATAGTAGTAATGATGATGAAAAGAAATTAACAGTAGCAATATCTAAATAGGTAGGTACTAGATAATTCGTATAACAAGGTAATGTGTCCTAGAATAATACACTGGTAAAGCATAAAAAGGAAACATAAATCAAACAACAATAAAGGTTAAAAGACTTCGGTTGCTTTGTTGAGGTTCAACCAAAACTGACAGTTTCCCATGAGAGAATGAGGTACATGTACAAGTTCTTATCAGCTTGAAGTCGGATATCACTTTTCTTAAGCAGCTTTGTCTGTTAGGAACATATGAGAGTTGAGATGATGTTAGTATTGGCCAGAAGGGCTTTTCGAAACGAAGTAAAAACGGGAGTTCATGGAGAAATGTTATTAAGAAATGGAGTGAGTATGTGTCTTTTGAGGTATGGCGACAGAATAGTGGGATTAAAAAAAAAATAATATAACCAGTCTACCGGTTTGTTTGTTTGTTTGCTTGCTAGTTTGTTTTCTATCTTGTTTCTTTGTTTGTGAGGATATTGGCTATTTTTATTGTTATTACTATTGGTTCCCTATATCTGTCTCTTTGCCAGTCCCATGTTGGCAGGGGAAAGAAGGGGCGAGTCAAATATATACATTTACAGTAGAAGAAACTGGTTAAGACCAATTCCCACTGTGTTTCCCATCAAGACCTGACGAAACAAGAACAAAATTATGGGAACAATTAACATTGGAAGGGGGAAGAGGGCAAGGGTAAGGACCAGACCAAAGTTAGGGGGGAAGGTAGGTAGGGAGGGATGGAGGGATTGGAAGCAGTAAAACAATATAAAATATGGACAGGTAGTTAACTAACAATAAGAGTAACCCATAAGAGAGACAGAGGGGCTAAGGAACAAAGCATATATTTTAACCGGGTTCAGTCCTCTACTTAATATGTAAAATTTGACCTGACTATAGGAAATATTTGGGTCCAGTCCAGTCAAAGTCCAGTCCAATCTGATCCAATCTAATCCAATCCAATCCCACCTTAGTACAGGTTGGGTCCAGTCTTGTCTCGTCTAGTCTCTTCTATAGTATAACCCTGTTCTGCTTAGTCCAGTTTTGAACAGAAAGAGACAAGAGTCTGCGACTACTAGTATGGAAAATGCGTTCGTGAGTGCGTCCGTTTGTGGGTCGACAGGGATTTTAGAAGGAGCTGGCTCGGCTTAACCGCAATTGCATAGTTCCGTTTAACGGTCTCTTCCAGGCAGAGACGGTGAAGTTACAACGGATGAATTTTAGACACGGAGCAGGAAAACTCATCGGAGACTGGACTGGGAAGGGAGTTTTGTAGAAGGAACATTTTCAAAGTAGATTCATGATTTAATTAGCAATACAAGAAGAGAAGGGCGACAGATAGGTGACAGACAGGCGGAAGAAGTAATTATAATAGAATAGAATACAATGATAACTTAATAAGAAATGATGGAAAAAATATTTTGAAAAGAAACGGATCTTATTGTGACTTGAACTTTAAAGTTGAGATAATTTTAGTAATTAGAATGAAACTGAGAAATCAGAAACTGAAAACTGCATATTTTTGATTTTGGAGAAGAGTGGGATAGAACAATTAAATAGCCTGGCAAAAAAGTAATGACATTATTACATTGCTTGGACTCGATATTACTTGTGAAGAAACCAAGGATCCTTTGTACTGGGAAATGTCTTTAATGGATCATGTGGAGTTGATACGAGGGGTGAATTTGGTTTCTAACACTTCATTATTCATTGCTGAGATAATTCAAATAATAATGAACACTGTGTAAAAAAAAATTACCTCTTGGGAGATACTACTGCAGTAGTATTCAAAACTTGGTTTAAAAGGGACTCGATGGCATTAATTATTGATAATATTTAATACAAATAATTTGAAATAAAAAGAAATCTAACCTTGTGAAAGAATTGAAAAAATAAATAAAAACAATATATTATTGATGTTTCATCAAAATTAAATAGAAATAATGTCACAATTACAGTATACTATCTGGGTTCTGGTGTGTGTCTTGCTTGATAAGAAGAAGAAAATTCAAGAAACAGAATGTTTTCTAATTTACACTTTCAATTGTGAGGCATAAGGGTTACACGACAGCTGTAATTAGATGGAATATAGCCTTTTATTATTTAATTATTAATAATATCGTAATTGTTAATTAATAATAGCTTTTGATTGATTTCTTTTGATTTCACCGAGGGACGGTATAATGCAATTGAAAGAAGATATGACAGATTAAATTTCTTATTTTATTACTAAGTGCTTGTTGTCGTTGTTGTTATTATTGTTGTTGTTATTGATGTTGAAAATGAAAATAAAGATGATGATGATGGAAAGTTGTTGATGCTGTCTTTAATTTTTTTAAAAAAGTTTTTAATTTCCATCAACAATAAAAAGTAAAAAGTTCCTCTTGTATTAAAAATTCCAGCCGTTTTTCTTAGGATCAATCTAATGTTAGATGGGTAGGTGAGTAATTCCCCCAAATTGAGGACCTATAATTCATTCTTGTAAAGCTTTTCAAGGAAATAAAAGAATCGAAAAACATATGATTATTGTACTTGTTAACAACGTCTAACGGATAAATTAATAGGTACCTGCGGCAATAAATTGATGTAATAGAAGGGGATGAATGAGAAGAGGGGGGGATTGGTGGTAGTAGAGTCTAGTGGTGATATAATAAAACTAGTAGTAACTTAAGAAGAAACAAAAGAAAACAACTAAGAAACTTTAAAAAGACAAAGAACGTAATAGAAAATGTGTAGATATTATTGAAACTTGTAGTGGTAATGTGTTAATTTCCATGGTATAGCAACGTCGAAATATTTAAAGACAAGGGATAGTATTTAAAAGAGGTGAGTTTCTTTTTCAATAAATACATAAATTGTTTTTACCCTTTTTGAAATATCAGTGTTTATTATTAAAAGTTCTTATAGGTTAAGGGATAAATTAATTCCAAATCTAGGTGTAACATAAATACTGCTAATACCAACGAGATTAGATATTCTTTAAGAAGGATAAAAACTTGAAAATGTGTCTATTAACGTAGATATTGCAATATTTTTACTGTTTCGGAACTACTTTTCCGATCATAGTTAACTGTCACCAACATCAACAGCTATGAAAACCAAACTGTATACTAACAAGAATCTAAACAATTAATTTCTTTTCGATCCTTAATTTGAATTAATATAACATTTTTTATTGTGCCAAACAAACAAGAGACTTATATTTTACTTTTGCCACGTCTTAAACTTAAGTTTCAATCCCTTTTGTTAAGAGTAGCCTATGATAAATACTATTAATTACATATAAAAAGAAATATCTGTTACCACTAACCTATGAATGAAGTATTAGTGACATAACAATTATCGATAAAAAGAACTCAATAGCCCTTCTAGTACTAAAACTTTTGTACATAGATACCTTCAATGCCCGGTAGAGGTTACTTGGCATCACAGTGCAATTTTACAAACTTGTTACGTGGTTGACAAGGTACTTGACAGAATGTCTTGAAATGAATTAATACGTTGTCTGATTGATCCCCTTATACACGGATTAATCCATTCTCATACAGAAACACTCTCACACTGTTCCTCCCTTATATGACATAATAGAATAACGGGAATTGTAGAGATCCTTGTTTGTTTAGTATAAGGTAAAGGATTGGGGTCACTTGATCTTATAAATGTTAATTTATATTCTTAGATCGTAAATGTATCAAAGAAGCCAAATTACCCGCCAATATCTATTTTTTGTTTTTTCATGATGATGATTTTTTAGTATTACCCGGATATAGATGAAAAACTTTGAAATTCAATTTTCACCATATCGAAATGTATGCACGTGATTGTGATATGATTAATATGCCTTTGTACGATCGGAGTGGCAAAATTCGGTCTCTCTCAAAATTAATTTGATTACTAAAAAATTTAAAATGCTCAAAGTGAACAGTGAACTGATTGTATATATAACTATTGCAGATGAGAGGTTTAAGGATATATATATAAGGCAACTATCTTATTTAGAGTATCTTTAACTTTCCAAAGACAGTGTGCTTTTTGATGGATTGTGGTCTGTTTGAAAAGTAATCGTGCTATTCCTAATTTTTTTAGTGAAAATATATCCGCTTAAAGAAAGAGCTTGATAATCGCAAATATAAGCTCACCTTTTTTATAAGATAGAAATTAATATTAATCGAAGATCTGTTTTACACGCTCTGTTATTATATCTATTTCTGCATTATTCTATTTTCCTATTAGTGTCTGCTTTCTAATATCAGTCAATATACGAATATTTAAGGGAACGCTAACAAATTTCGAATTGTGTAATAATAGCCTTTGAAGTTATATGTTTCTACGAGTCTTTCTCTGAAATATTTTGGTCGTCTAATACGATATGTGGAAGCTTACTATAAATAATAGTTTAAGATGTTGTTCTCAAAGGTTTCTAATTAACAAATCAATCTCCAGGAGCGCAATTAAGACCTCGGTACGTACCAGCACGTTATTGGGACCTTCCAGTTATAGAGGCATACATACTAGTTCTACTTTGCTACTTCGTGCCACTTCTCCGTTTCTAAATAGTAATAATAATAATAATTCCAATAAAAATGTTGAAACTAATTCAGAAAATCAGAATGGCAAGGACTCTGAATCTAATCAAGAAGGTAAAAATAAAAATGACAACAATAAAAATGATCAAGGACAACCAAATATTATGGAATATTTTAAATCCAAAGAATTTATGAACACAATGTTACTAACCATTGCTTTCACTTTTTTATACAATCTAATGGATTCAAATGACAACGATAGCAGTAGAGAAAATAACAATAACGATCCATTAACATTCCAAGACTTCAAAACAAAATATTTAGAAAAAGGTTTAGTCAAAAAAATTAGTGTGGTGAACAAAAATATCGTCGAAGCAGAATTAATCTCAGATGTAAATTTAGGTTCCTCTGGTAATTCTTCACTTTTTAATAATAACAGTCCTGTCATTGTTTCATTCACTATAGGTTCTATCGATATCTTTGAAGGACAAATGGAACAGATCCAAAATGAACTGAAAATCAGTCCAAATGATAGAATTCCTATTACTTATGTCAACAGATACTCTATGCTACAATTATTCTTCCCATTTGTTCCAACTATTCTAATATTAGGTGGTCTATTCTATATTACTAGAAGAATGGGTGGTCCTGAATCCGGTGGTATGGGTGGTGGAGGTAGTGGTGGTATGTTTGGAGTAGGTAAATCTAAAGCTAAGTTGTTCAACAAAGAAACAGATATAAGAATATCGTTTAAAGATGTAGCAGGCTGTGCTGAAGCTAAACAAGAAATTATGGAATTCGTGCATTTCTTAAAAAATCCTCAAAGATATACTGATTTGGGTGCTAAAATCCCAAGAGGTGCCATCTTGTCTGGTCCACCAGGTACTGGTAAGACTTTGTTAGCAAAGGCAACTGCTGGTGAAGCAGGTGTTCCATTTTTATCTGTCTCCGGTTCTGAATTCGTAGAAATGTTTGTTGGTGTAGGTGCTTCAAGAGTTCGTGATTTATTCGAACAAGCAAGAAGCATGTCTCCATCAATTATTTTCATTGATGAAATCGATGCAATTGGTAAAGAAAGAGGTAAAGGTGGTGCTTTGGGTGGCGCCAATGATGAAAGGGAAGCGACTTTAAACCAACTGTTAGTAGAAATGGATGGTTTTTCCACTACTGATCAAGTCGTTGTGTTAGCTGGTACCAATAGACCAGATGTTTTAGATCCCGCTCTAATGAGACCAGGGAGATTCGACAGACATATCGAAATTGACCCTCCTGATGTTGAAGGTAGAAAATCTATCTACTTAGTCCATTTATCAAAATTGAATTTAGATCCTATTTTTACAGAAACCAAAGAAGCCAAGGACGAATTAGCGGGTAAGCTAGCTGCATTAACACCAGGATTCGCTGGTGCTGATATTGCCAATGCTTGTAATGAAGCGGCTTTAATTGCAGCTAGATACAATGATAAATATGTGGAATTGAGACATTTCGAACAAGCTATTGAAAGAGTTATTGCTGGTTTGGAAAAGAAATCACGTGTACTATCCCCTGAAGAGAAGACAACTGTTGCTTATCATGAAGCAGGTCATGCCGTATGTGGTTGGTTTTTACAATATGCAGATCCGCTTTTAAAAGTCAGCATCATCCCTCGTGGTCAAGGCGCATTAGGTTATGCTCAATATCTACCACCTGATCAATATTTAGTAACTGAAGAACAGTTTAAACATAGGATGATAATGACCTTAGGTGGTAGGGTTTCCGAAGAATTACACTTTCCTTCTGTTACTAGTGGTGCCCATGATGATTTTAAAAAGGTAACTCAGATGGCAAGATCTATGGTAACTGCATTGGGTATGTCAAGGAAAATTGGTTATATCTCTTTTGATTCTGATCCAAATGCAGGTGGATTTCAAGTTAATAAGCCATTTAGTGAAAAAACAGAAAGAAAGATAGATTTAGAAGTTAAAAGAATTATTGATGAAGCTCATAAGAGTTGCAAAGAATTATTAACTTCAAACATAGAGAAAGTTGACAAGGTAGCAAAAGAGCTTTTATCAAAAGAAGCGATTACAAGAGAAGATATGATCAGATTATTAGGTCCAAGACCATTCCCTGAAAGAAACGAAGCATTTGAAAAGTATTTAGACCCAAAAAATGATAAGACTAAAAATGATAAAAATGATAATGTTTCTCCTGTAACTAATTGATAACTTAGGCCCACATGTTTTAATACTTAACATAGAGTTTAGTATTAATATTTATTCATATTCCGAATTTAAATTTAATGATTTATTACATACGAAATTAATTTTTCTTTTGGTGAAGTGGCTCGATTATGCGCTTAATTTCCAGGTTATACCATACGACCTCAAAAGAAACGATGATATAACAAATATATACAAAATAAAAGAAGTCAGATGGTATTTCCTATTAAAAGAAAGAGTGCTGACATTTGATACATATGTAAATAGAAGTAAAAAATTATATATATTATACATTAAGAGATTTCATACTAGAGTATATAATTTTTGGGCATTCAATTACATGTAAATAATGACTAAACCTGAATTTTAAAATGTTTCCTCATCAATAATTAAGTTATCAGTCGGTTGAGATGTAATTGATGTTTTATTACTGATATCTTCATTTATGACATGTGTATTCCTTATATTTAATTCTTTTGTATGCTGACCATTTGAATCGTGTTGCACATTATTTACTTCAAATCCTTCTTCAGTTGCATACAGTATATGTTGAACTTTCCCGAGGAATTTGTTTAATTCATTTGTATCGGAACCTGTTGTTGTATTATAGACACCTTCTTTTATTAAATCTTGGGTAGATTGCACTAAGATCTCTATATCTCGTAATTTTCCAAAATAAAAATCTCTTTCCCTTTCCATTATATCCATTGCCTCTCTATAAGTCGTTATTTCTTTATTCAAGCTAGTCACCTTCGAATGAGATTGAGATAACTCTGCTTGCAAAGCCAATAATTGTTCATTTGAAGCTTTTCTGACACCACCGTATGAAGCTGATCTTATGCTATTATCCCTTAAATTTCCACTGCTACTATAATTTGAGTTATATGTGTTAGAACTTAAATTAGATCCAGTAACAGTACTCGTTTTCCTTTTCACCACACCTGGTGTAGATCCGGTAGTTGATCCATTGCCAGTTGGAGGTCTATATTTCCTACGTGCTTGAGCATCATAAGGGCTCTCATCTTTATTTTGTACCCAGAATTTTTTAATCCATTGTAGAAATTCTAAATTATCTTGAAATTTACATTTGATTAATTTATCAACATAAACTGTCTTCTCGATACGATGCCTTTGAAAACAACTTTGTAAAATCTTATAGTTTGTCTGGTATTCATATTCGGCGGTAGCTGTAAATTTAACTCTGGGCATCGGAATATCACCATATATAGAATCCATTATCTGACAATAAGCGGCACCAGTACCACATTCTTCAACTTTTCTATAGTTTAATTGTAACAATTCATTCAGCCAATTCAGCAATTCTGTACGTGATTCACCTATCCCACTCATAGTCGATATATATTAAACTGAAACAGCTAGATTTATTGTTAGGTCAATTTTTGATTAACAGTACAACTTTCTTAAAATGTGAATCTAGATTTTCCCAACGGTTCAACTACCAACAACAACTATATCAATCTAGAGACTCCACACATGCAACTACAACTCTGGATATCACTGAATTGGATATATATCTGTTGTTATTGCAGTTTATTACTAGAATATTATGTTATTGTTGTTGATTTCCAGTTTTTTAAATTCAATTGGAAGATGTCGCGTTAAAAATTGGATTAAATCTAGAAATTAAGTCGCGTGAATAAAAATATCGAATATCAATCAATCAACGAGAGTTACAGTTGAGACAACAACTGGAAGTTGGATCAGAAGGAAGGTAAAGAAGAGATATGGTATGATATTTACACACTTAAGAGTGGGCCTTGAATTTGGCTTGAGGAATATATAGAATATAAATATAATATTATTTGTAACTATGTGGGGCTGAAACGAGATGAGATATATTGATTTGGTAGGAGTCGGTTATAACATGAAAATGTTGGAATTGAAGTTAAACGCAAAATGATGTTGTGAATTGTAATAGTATTATAAGTTACCATTTTTGATGATTGAACCTTCTGCGTATAGAGCATCCAATTGATCTTTGAAGAATTTTGTTGCCTTTGGACGTTTAATCTTGAAAGTTGGGGTGACAACATCGTCTTCAACTCTTAATGGTTCCAAACCAACGTAAATGTTGTGTACTTTTTCGAAACCTTGCAAACCTTTGATAAAAGTGTTCATTATTGATAATAATTGTTTTCTTAATTTTGAGTCAGAATTTAGTGCTTCAACTAATTGAGAAGCACTCATGTTTTTGACTGATGGGTTTTCTTTGATTAATGCTTGTTGAACCATATCTGGGTCAATACCTACAACACCTACCAAGTAGGTTTGTAGGGAGTCACCAAATACAAAAATTTGAGTAATTAAAGGACAGGAAGACAAGTAACTGTTTTCGATCTTTTCTGGTGCGATGTATTCACCTTGAGCTAACTTGAAGAAATTCTTGACACGGTCAATGACGTAAAGACGACCTTTTTCATCGATTCTACCAACATCACCAGTTGAAAACCAACCTTCTTCATCGAAAGATTCTGTGGTGACATCTTCTCTCTTAAAGTACCTCTTGAAAATTTGAGGACCACGTAATTGTAATTCACCTTTTAGATCCTTCTCTGCATCGTAACCCATGCTTGGGACCGATTTCAATCTACATTCTGAACTGATACCAATGGCACCACAAGATCCTGCATCTTTTTCATGAGGTTCTGACAAACAAACACCAGCAAAGGATTCTGTCATACCGAAACCTTGTCTCATACCAATATCTAATGATGACTTCAAAAAGACCAAAGTGTCATAAGAAATTGGAGCTGAACCAGTGACCATATATGAAGCGTTTTCTAAACCTAGTGATTCTCTTATCTTGTCGATTAGCACACGATGGTAGATCAAATAGTTCATTAATGATCTGTCAGGACCACCCTTAGAGGTAATTCTAGTTTGTTTCATTTCAATAATATTGGAGGCAACATTCTTTTGGAAACCAGACTTTTCTAAAGCGTTTTTGATACCAGCTTCGAATTTAGTTAAAACACGAGGAACCAATGAAACTACATCAGGTTTCAAAATTTTCAAATCCTCAACTAGAACCGCAGGATCTGGTTTGTGCAAGAAACCTAAACCAAAACCTGAGGATATGTTATATGCTAGCAACATTCTTTCGAAGATATGTGCCAAAGGTAAGAAGCACATATCATGCAATTGCTTACCTCTTTTATGTTTTGGGATTCTAAAAGTTGAGAAAGCGAAAGCAATACCAGAAGCGACATTTCTGTGTGTCATTTCGACACCCTTTGGCATACCGGTAGTACCCGAAGTGAATGAAATAGTATACAAAGAATCTGGAGTAGGTGGGATAACAGGGATTTGGTTTAATTTACCAATTTCTTCCACTTGTCTCAAAGAGAACAATGAAACTTTTTCACCTAATGAGTTTTTTGAATGGGCAAAAATTGAATCATTTATAATTTTTAACTCTTCATTATCTATATCTTCTAGAACCACCAAAGTATTGACAAATTTTAGTTTTGGAATAATTTCCATTACTCTATACATATTTGATTTAGCAAAGAGTAAGACTGGAGATTCGGTTAAATTCATGATATATTCTGAAGTTTCAGGACCCAAAGTTTCGTATAAAGCAGTATTGGTCAATGAGTATTGTTGACAAGCCAAGTCAGTAAGGACCCATTCTGGTCTATTGAAGGATAGGATTGAGACAATGAAATCATTGCTGGTTAAAGATCTCAAACGTTTGGTGTTGACCAAAGTCATAATACCGCTACCTATATTTCTTGATCTTTCATTGACAGTAGCGTAGTCTTCGAATTCATAATGATCCAACCATTGGCCACTGCTTTCGTCGTAAGGTCTGACACCTAAACAGTCATTCTGAGGCCAGCTTCTTACTGCGAATTGGAAGTGATCATAGAAAGTTTTCAATTTGATTGAATCCATACAAGTGACTAGATCATTTTTGGATAGGGAGGATCTGTAGACGGGACTGTAACCTGGTTTATTAGAAGTTTCTAAAGGGACGGCCTGTTGTTTTAGAAAGGCAGTATATTTAGGCCAACTGGATAAAGGCATGGAGTTGATAAGTTCTAAAAAATACTCATCGGAGCCCTTTTTGAAGCGAGAAAGTTCATCTTTAAGGCTCTTGAACCTTGGATCTGAGTCGACCAAGTCTACTACACTAAATTCTTTTTCAGTCTCCATGAGTCGATGGAATGTTTTATTTTATTCTGTATTTATTCTGGTGTGTTTTTTTTTTAAAATTTGCGTTATTGCACTGATGTACTCTCGTGATGCGAGTATGTGAGTGAGTGAGTTGGGTGCTTGTGTGTTTGAATATAGACTTTTTAGAGGTATGGTATGGTATATCTAAGAGTCCAATAAGGTAGAAAGGTGATCAAACAGAGAGTGGGATTGGTATCTGATGTGAATAAAAGAAGAGGATATCTGTGAAACGTTGCTGGTTGAATGAAATAAAAACTTTTTAGAGTTAAGTGTTGCTTTATATACGGAGAGGAAACGATTAGAAAATGGAGATAGAGAGATAGAGGGGAGGGGGGGGGGGGTCTCCGATATATGTTTTACAATTCTTCACCCTGTGTGTTTTTTGTTCTATATGTATATTTGTTCGTCTGTTGAGGTTTCGGACTGTATTCGCTTCATGACACTGCCTCTGTCCTGTATATGTGTTGTTGTGGGTTGTAGTGTTTATGCTTTATATATATCGCTAGTACTCACGTTGATGCTTGTGGTAAGGGTGTTGTGACCGTTGACATTTGTGGATTTCACAATGTTTCTTGCCTTACATTAACTCTCTATGATTCAGTTTATGGATATACTGTCGGTTGATATATCTATCTGCGGTATCCACGCGATACTGTCTTGCTAGGTCTGGAAGCGCGATGCATTATTCATCGCCTGTACTTTGTGTGTTATATCACATGGTTCTGTAGATGTATTTTCGATTTACGTCTTGTCACACTGTGTTGTTATCTTGTGTTCACTCGATCGATGGAACCCTACTCGATCCGTTTATGTATTCTTTGCATATGATTTAGCACTGTAACTGAGCTTTCTACAATTGTATACATGAGGCCTCAATCATTGTGTGTTAGTCTATATTATGACGGAATAGCATATAGTGCAGCACTTGCCAC